CCCACACAGATCGATTTCACGTTTAAAATGCAAACCACTTTTTTCTCACACCAGAGATTCCACAAAGTTCTAAAATTCAAGTTGCTTTAGTTTTGTTGCCGCGTCTTGGGTTTTAAATTGATGATTGATTAACGAGTGATGAGTATTCCAGAAGAGCAGCTGGTGATTAGAGGATCAGATGGTTTAGTAAGAATGCAGTGTGGAGGATACTGCTGCAGTTGTTTTATTTACTCTGAGAGGAGTGTGTTCTCCTCTACGGAGATTTTTTGTCATTTTTACATTTGTCCATTCTAAATATTCTGCCAATCCATGTATTATTTATTATGGTTTCACATTAACCTAATCTGTTAGCTGATTTAGGTCCATAGTTGTTTTTGAGATGTTCATAGTAATTCAGCCTTTCATTGCTAATCTTATTCATCGTTGGAATAATAAGCTCTGTCTTGAATCTTTTTAACTCATCCTTGCTTCGAGATGACTTTTTAGACTGATGCAGCAGATCATAAAACCTTCCCCACTCCTGGGAACGGCAGAAACCCACTCTTCAGTTCATGCGTTTCGTTACATTTGGCAGCTGAGTTGAATAATCAATGTAGAAACCAACAGTTCGGTTCAGTCATATTTTGGCCTCTGCTTTTACTGATAAACAATACAACCCACTCCAAGTCAAGTAGCGGGTCCAAACGTAGGTTTTTAAATTAACTGATAGAGGGAGACACAGAACGAGTTCACCTGAGGGAACATAGGGAAACAAATTGCTCTGCCTTAAGTCCATTCAGCCCAGGTCAGCATTTCCTGGACAGGATGCGATAATGCACAACTTTAACTCACTTTAAATTTGTCAGAATGTTTCAACAAATACGTTGTGCAGAGGACAAAAGTGCACTTACATTCCACATAAGAAGAACAGTATCTGTCAGTGTGAAATAGCAAAGCGGAGCATATATTTTGAGATTATATGTTTCTAACAACATTTCCTCAAAGGAAGCGATACGTCTGCGTCCTCTGTAATGTCTTTGCCTTTGTTCATCAGTACAAGGACCAGACTCAGTGGCAGAGTCACCTTTTGTCAGCAGCAGTTTGTATTCAGATTTGGGAGGAGGTAATGTTTTTCCATTATTTTGTGTACTCCCAGGTGCGATCTGGAACAAAAATAGAGGTTGCTCATAGGGTTCAAGCGCTTGGTTATGCATGAACATTCTCCACTGGTGAGGTCCTGACTCACACACACACAAGCACACACACACACACACACACACACACACACGTCAAAGGCTTAGCTTGTCCGACCGTACGCCTCCTTAGCTGCGCGGTGCTGTGCAGTGGGACGCATTATGAGGTCAACTCAGGGAAGTGTGTGCGCCTTATGTTTGCTTTCCATCAGTGCAGTTCATGAAATAGTTCAGAGACCAAACAGCAGCTGATGGTGTTTGTGGAGCAGCCCAGTAGGTTTTGCATTTTTCAGTTGGTCAATTTAACTAAATCTGTTCATCTCATAGTGTATGCAGTCCACGCTG